AACCTCAACTACTCAGTTTACGAGCCATTAGCAGCTTCCATGTCCTGAATGATTTCGTCGCATAGGAGAAATGTTATTCACTCCGCTAGGAAATTAGGGCGAATGGCGTCATCATAATCAGCTGGTAGCTTATTTAGTGGTGTATTTCTATGAAGGCTGTGAATTCACATATCATCGGCTTTGAGTGACTTTTGGCGCAAAGTAGTGCCATTATTGAAATCATAAGCGCGAGGGGGGATGATTTTGAACAACTAAGATTTTTTTTCTATTTGGCATTTTCTTGGTCTTACATCTTCCTTGTTTTTCTGCCGCTGTTGAATCTAGAGCATCATGGTGTTATTTTACTCGACTGATGTAAAGAATTTATGCTGTAGAATTTGTATGTGGACGTTACTTCTCGAATGTGGAAGATTTGCACCAGATGAGCCCAATGCTGTCGTTTTTTCCAATGTTGTCAGTCTGCATTTGTCCCGTTGATGGGCATGGTAGCTACGCGTTTCGAGCGTTGACAGGCCAGGGTAGGTCGATGTGCCACCCACTAATGACTGGGGCCTCGTGCGCCGCTAATGGCTATCTGTGAAACTGCTTTTGGTAGCTGGAGGTCGACGAAACCATGGCTGAACGTTACTTTATGCATATTAGGGAGTCGACAAGTTTTCGGAAATTGGGATAGAAGGAGGCTCTTGATTGAGCGCAGGTTTCAATATTCTCCCCAATGGAGATTGAGCTCTGATCTACTGTTTAGAAGCGCACAAAGTTCAGTTTTAGGGTTTGGAAGAAATTGGTAACCTTGGCTCTATCCCAAAACAAGGGCCAATGCGCGCAAGTTATTGGTTAACTTGACTTTATGGTAAAAGGAACTGGTTCATACCCCGGTGCTGCTTCCCTCAACGGCCTTTAGCGAAAATCCTCATTCATCTGGCTTCAGTTCTTTCGCGCCTGTTAGTATGACACGTACCACCGTTAGGGTAAGATCCACGACTTTCCGAGCTGTAAGCCAGCCAGCTGTAGCGGGTCTTGTCAATTCCGAGCTTACAGTACTCCAGCAGTACGCATTGAACCTAGGAAAGTCTCTTGGCAGCGGAGCTACTTCAAATTTAAATTTATGGGGGATATCTAAATCATAAGGTGAAGTCTTTGTTGGGGTGATAATCAGAGCGGAGATGGACATTCTTCCAGTAGGCGGGTTCGCGTTTTGTTTGAAGAAATTGGAAAAGCCTCCTTTCAGCGCTAAACAATCGATTTCTAGGACCTGCAATCCTTCTTATAGGTTTAGGTGTAAATTTGCCTCTACCTTGTTCCCGTTGTCACGCCTAGAAACCGCTGGCTGGCCTAGACGTATTTTCTTTAGTGAAATAGTAGCCCTGGAACCTTTTATTGGTAGTGTTTCGTGTTTCGAGAATTCCTCGTATATTTAAACCCCCATAGGCTTCCATAATACTGTCATAGTCGAAATTTCTTTTTTTTCTCAACTGCTGAAAACTATTGTTCTAGTGAGAGGGGGCATTTTGGCGCAGTACCCCACGTTATTTTGGAACTCATGACTTTTGGCGCAAACGAATTGTTTTAACCTTTCCGAAGCTCCTTCAGTTCTAGAGTTAGGCAGAAAGGCTCATCGTCTGTGGCACACAATCGTATTTTCGCTTTTTCTGGAGAAAATCCCCTCCACCTTGCTGAAATGCGGCTGGATTTTTCCGCAATCTATTGTTTCGTGACTTCCCCTTTAGTTTTTCTGATACTCTCCTCTGCATGCTCTACTATTTAAATTCTTTCTTCATAACTAGTTATAAATGGATGTTTGTGTACGATATTGATTGGTAAAGGTTCAAGTTGAGCGCGAGTATTGGAGGATATCAATGTGGTTTGTCTGGTGTGGGTCCATAGAGGCGCCATTGACGCGGACTAGCTGGCTGGTCTGACAGGCTGCGATCTGGTTGCAAGGCGCGCGACGCACTAATCGATTCGCACACCACGCACGATGCCACTACCCCACTCCGTTCTCATTTCTCTCCCCGTATTTCTGAACCATTGCTCTCCTGGCGCGCAGTTCCTTGATGGAAGTGATACGAAACAGGAAGGCGACTAAGCCACGTTGGAAAATGACAAGGGGAATGGAAGAATACAGTGAAAAAAGACTTAGGGTTATGTAAAAAACCTGAAGTGGAAAGAAATCAAAAAAAAGAAAAAGCTTGTGTTGGAGTTTGTTTTGTAGCAGCTTTTTAATCTCTGACAGTTCCACTCACAATTGATCACTGAATTTTTAGGTACCGGAGAATCAGGGAAGTCGACGTTCATTAAGCAGATGCGAATTATCCACGGGAATGGTTATTCAGATGAAGATAAACGGGCTCATATTCGACTAGTCTATCAAAATGTCTTCATGGCCATACAAGTAAGTTCGGAGCATAAATTCACTAGTTGAATGACCCTGTCACAATCGTCGGAGGTTTGAATGATAAGGTCACCTTGGTCCTGGGTGTGTGAATGGCACGACTGATAGTGAGGGGACAATTCGGCCAAGGGAGACGTTTGAAGGGCTTCTTGTACGAAGAAAAAATTTTGAAAATAAAAATATATTGACTGTGTTGGAAAATCGAACAAGTGAGCAATATTAGATGAGGGGGAGATCTAGGGCAAAAAGTAGTTAGCTCCCGTTTCGCCCATCACCTTAGACAGAAGCCTTCCCCTGTGCTCAGCAGTAAAGGAAGGGACTCAAAACTGAACTTCCATCATAGAATGCTTTTTTCCCCGCGCTGAAAGTTAGTCCATCCACCGCGGGAATGCTTCCCATTCGGCTTTAGGCAGAGGTCATCATCTCTGCGATCTCATTCCAACTAGGGTGTCCTACAGGGGCTCCCTGTCCCCT